CTAAGTCCTAGGGAGATGATGTCAAGGAAGATTGGTTATTTTCTTCCCAGAAGACCCCTAGACTTATAATGCAAATTCACAAAATACCCCCTTGTCAATTGTATCAATTTAAAGCTCCCCAGGGCAGAGGCCTGATTCCTACGCATCTCCCATACCTAACAGGGGTCTGCCATATTTGCAAAAGTGGGATCTCACTATTACTGAACAAAATGCCCTGGATACCTTTTTACCAGAGCACTTTCAGCATCAGCCTGTACCTTTACATATGTACCCACGTATAAAAATGGACAGACTCACACATAAGGGAATATAAGAAAGGAATAATTGTGACTCAATATTAATGATTTCAAGGGAGAAGGTGACAACTAATCAGAGGTTTAATACTTTTGCTGGTTTCATCAAGTAAAAGATGCAATTACCAAAAAAAAAAAAAAAATTAAGGAATGATTGCACTTTGTTGGAAATCAACAGAAGTTGTTAATTATTTCAGAAAATTATAATACAAACAGTAACACAGCTTGGGGTATTAGATTCGTTTGTACAAAACAATCAAAAGAAACCTGTGTGAACCTACGTGCTTCACTTAAGGTGATTCTATATGTAGGTGCAAACAGTGGACTCTTGCACCATGTCTTCTAATGAAGTCTTGTCAAAACATTTAGATTGAAATATATATAGTTTTATTAAAAATTAATATTGTATACTGATTAGATTACAATCATGATATACTATCAGTATTTTGGAAATTACATAGGTAAGTCACATTATTTATGATTCTCATTTTAGGGCAGTAGAAAGGAAGTTATAAAATACTTGTTATTAAAAAAGAATCTGACTGAGATTCTCTTTTTATAGGCGTAGACCTAGAACTACCGTACCAAAGGAACCCAGATATAGTTTTTGTTAACAGATTTTTAAAAACTATTAAAGGTTCTTTTTTTCCCTACTATAAAAATTATCACAAACTGAGTAGCTTAAAACAATAGAAATTTATTTTCTCACAGTTCTAGACTATGGAAGTCTACAATCAATCAATGGAGGGCCAGGCTCCCTCAGAAACATCTGGGGGAGAATGAGTCTTTCTCCCTCCCAGCTTCTGGTAACCTCGGACATTTCTGGGCTTGTGGCAGCCTAACTCCACTCTCTGCCGTGTCTTCGCATGGCACTCGCCCCTCGGACCCTCTGACTTCTCTTCTTACAAGGACACCAGTCAGATTAGATTAAGGCCCACTTTCATATCTTCATCACAACCTGATTACCTCCACAAAACCCCATTTCCAAACAGTCACAATCACAGGTTCTGGAGGTTAGGATTTCAACATATCTTTTTGGGGAGACACAGTTCAATCCATAGTGGGCTTATTGCAAAAAAAATATATATATATAGAAAGTGTAGAATATTTTCAAGGACATTTAGTTATAAATAAAACTTGAACATAATTTTTATTATAGAATTTTGCTATTTCATTGGAAGTGAAATGTAGACAAATATTTTAAAGTAAAAATTAGATAAATAGGTTTAAGCTCTTACTACACACAGCCAAATTGCTTTGCAGAAAGGTTATACTGTGTTTGTTCTCTTTAGTAGTATAATTTTATGTTAAATCATAGGTCCTCCACCATTGTGCATAGCCTTGGCCTATCTATCTAATGAAGTCTAGGGCTTCTACATATTTATTTGTTTACTTACACTATTAATAGAAGTAAATACTAGTACTGGCAACAGGTATGTTAAGATAAAATAAACCAACCTACTTCTCATTTGTAGATGATGGTTCTAATGAGAGAAATGTTTTATTATGTTTGAACTAAGCTTTTTACTGGCATATCACCTGCTGTTACCAATACAAGCTAATAAGAATCCTAGAGAATTCTGTAGGCAGGGTGTGCAAAATTACACTGGAAACTAAACATTTAAAAATAAACAAATATTTATTTAATATTTATTCAGTATGTATTTCATTAATGTTACCAATTTGGTAAAGTTCTTTATTAAATTAACATAAAAATTCATTTTAAGACCAATATGTCACCTTTCTTCCCGAGAATGCTATTCAATTAAAGCTGAGACATCAAAGTTCTTATACACAAAGAGTTTCATTATGCAACCTCATTATGAGGTCTAAATTCCTGGATATATAAATATGTTTAAAGTAAACTATGGATACTACCAATATAATCTTGCAAAGACAACAATTCACTATATTTTAAATTTTGGCTCCCGAGAAATCAAGCTTGAAGTACAGCCTACATGCAAATGCTTTATTAGGATGAAGAGTATAGTCACAGAGCATCAAAATAAGGATACATGGGGTAAAAAAGAGAAAAAGTGGGAAAATAAATACAAGATTGTGTATTGCAGAGATGGCCATGGCTTCATAGTATACATGGTTAGCTATGTATTCACATGAGATGCTTCTGGAGAGTTGGTATGAAGCCACAGTGATATTGTTTGGTTGTGTGTCCAACCAAATCTCAACTTGAACTGTATCTCCCTGAATTCCCACATGTTGTGGGAAGGACACATGGGAAGGTAATTGAATGATGGAGACTGGTATTTCCCATGCTATTCTCATGATAGTGAATAAGTATCATGAGATCTAATGGGTTTATCAGGAGTTTACACTTTTGCTTCTTCCTCATTTTTCTCTTGCTGCCACCATGTAAGAAGTGCTTCTTGTCTCCCACCATGATTCTGAGGCCTCCCCAGCCATGTGGAACTATAAGTCCAATTGAACCTCTTTCGCTTCCCAGTCTCAGGTATTCTTCATCAGCAATGTGAAAACAGACTAACACAGTAAGCTGGTAATAGTAGAGTGGGGTGTTGCGAAAAAGATATCCAAAAAATGTGGAAGTGACTTTGGAACTAGGTAAAAGGCAGAGGTTGGAACAGTTTAGAGGGCTCAGAAGAAGACAGGGGAATGTGGGAAAGTTTGGAACTTCCTAGAGATTTGTTGAATGGCTTTGACAAAAATGCTGATAGTGATATGAATAATAAGGTCCAGCCTGAGGTAGTCTCAAATGGAGATGAGGAATTTGTTGGGAACTGGAGCAAAGTTGACTATTGTTATGCTTTAGCAAAGAGACTGGCAGCATTTTGCCCTTGCCCTAGAGATTTGTGGAACTTTGAACTTGAAATAGATAATTTAGGGTATCTGGTAGAAGAAATTTCTAAGCAGCAAAGCATTCAAAAGGTTACTTGGGCACTGTTAAAAGCATTACATTTAAAAAGGGAAACAGAGCATAAAAGTTCAGAAAAGTTGCAGCCTGACTTTGTGATAGAAAAGAAAGATTCATTTTCTGGGGAGAAATTCAAACTGGATGCAGCGATTTGCATAAGTAGCAAGAAACCTAATGTTAATCTGCAAGACCATGGGGAAAACGTCTCCAGGCTATGTCAGAGAACTTCACAGAAGCCCCTCCCATCACAGGCCCAGAAACCCAGGAGGAAAAAGTGGTTTAGTGGGCCAGACTCAGGGTCCCTGTGCTGTGTGCAGCCTAGGGACTTGGTGCCCTATGACCCAGTTGATCTAGCCATGGCTGAAAGGGGCCAACATAGAGCCGGGGCTGTGGTTTCAGAGGGTGGAAGTCCCAAGTCTTGGCAGCTTCCATGTGGTGTTGAGGCTGCAGGTGCACAGAAGTCAAGAATTGAGGTTTGGGAACCTCCATCTAGATTTCAGAAGATGTATGGAAATGCCTGGATGCCCAGGCAAAAGTTGGCTGCTGGGGCGGGGCCCTCATGGAGAATCTTTGCTGGGGCATTGCAGAAGGCAAATGTAGGGCTGGAGCCCCCACAGAGAGTCCCTACTGGGGCACTGCCTAGTGGAGCTGTGAGAAGATGGCCATTGTCCTCCAGACCCCAGAATGGTAGACCCACTGAGAGCTTGCATTACACACTTGGAAAAGCAGCAGGCACTCAACACCAGCCCTTGATAGCAGTCAGTAGGGAGGCTGTACCCTGCAAAGCCACTGGGGTCAAGCTGCCCAAGACCATAGAAACCCACCTTTTGTATCAGCATAACCTAGATATGAGACCTGTAGTCAAAGGAGATCATTTTGGAGTTTTAAAATTTGACTGCCCCACTGGATATCAGAGTTGCATGGGCCCTGTAACCTCTTTGTTTTGGCCAATTTCTCCCATTTGGAATGGCTGTATTTACTCAAAACCTGTACCCCCATTGTATCTAGGAAGTAACTAGCTTGTTTTTGATGTTGCAGGCTCATAGGCAGAAGGGACTTGCCTTGTCTCAGATGAGACTTTGGACTGTGGACTTTGGGGAACTTTTGGGAAGACATGATTGGAGTTGAAATGTGAGGACATGAGAGTTGGAGGGGCCAGGGGTGGTATGATATGGTTTGGCTGTGTCCCCAACCAAATCTCAACTTGAATTGTATCTCGTAGAATTCCCAAGTTTTGTGGGAGGGACCCAGGGGGAGGTAATTGAATCACAGCGGCCAGTCTTTCCCATGCTATTTTTGTTATTATGAATAAGTCTCATAAGAGCTAATGAGTTGATCAGGGGTTTCTGCTTTTGCTTCTTTCTCATTTTTCTCTTGCCTGCCACCATGTAAGAAGTGTCTTTCATCTACCACCATGATTCTGAGGCTTCCCCAGCCATGTGGAACTGTAAGTCCAATTAAACCTCTTTTTCTTCCCAGTCTCAGGTATGTCTTTGTCAGCATCATATACACACAGCCTCTCAAAACAGGCCTTCACAGGGCAAATAAAGGGAATGAACTCTTGACTGAAGACTCACTTTCTTACAACTTTCATGTGTAGACTAATTAAAGTGAATTATTTAATGATGCCACATATCTGAAATCTGCACATACCAAGAAATCTTTGTGTGATGGACAGCAGAAACTACTCGGGAGGATTTATATATGTCTTAGGCATCAATAAACCACTGAAAGTTGGAAATAACTCCTAGACCCATAGCTTGTGGTGATGATAAATAATAAGATAAATAATAATAATGTAATGAAGGAAGTGTTTGTGATGATGTTAAACCAAAATTACATTTATTGGAAAGACATGAGGTAGCTCAAGAGGCACTGGAGCACCAGGTGTAAGAAAATGGGAAAGAACAAGGAAGATGTGATGGTTAATTTTATGTGTCAACCTCATTGGACCATGGAGTATCCAGATATTTGGCTAAAACATTATTCTGGGTATGTCTGTGAAGCTGTTTCTGAATGAGATTAACCTTTGAATCTGTAGACAGTTTCTTCAGGAAAAGTCTGATGCAATCCATTTTCATACTCCTTCCAGTTTGTTGAGACAAAAGTGACCTCTTTTGCTGAATTCAGGATACTGTCTATCTAAAATATTTTCAACACCCCAAAAATGTTAGGAACTAAAAACAAATTTTAGAGAAAAGTCAAATAATATTCACACACTCTAAAAAATACTTTCTACAAAATTAGTTAATAATATTTTACAATATTCAGTTACCTTCCAATCCTTCAAAAGCTGAAAATAGAGTTTCTCTTCTTCTCTCTGAAGAAATAATAATTGTAGACTCCTTTCTATGTGCTAGGAACAATAGGAAGCATCCTCACCTGTGCTACGTCATGTAACCTACACAAGCCTGAAAGGTGCACATATTGCAACTGATTAAGCCTCTTTAGTCTAGTGGCACGTCCCCTGTCTCCTTTTCTCCCTGTGAAATTTATTTGTTAAAAAATAGAGTAATAAGTCATTTGAAATTGTTCATCATCTAGGGTTTATTGAATATGTTAAATTCATGCCCAGTTTAAATTTTCTTCGTTTTTAAAACGACTACTTCAGAAGCAGTGTTCTCTTCTACTACCCAGGGACACAGATTTGGTTTGTCTCTCTTTTTGTGATGTTAACAGCAATTTGTATATGCTTGATTCTTTCTCTCTTTACATTTTTGAAGTTAATGGGTCAGTTCGCTCGCTTGGTTTAACAGTGAACTATTAGTTAATATTTTAGTATCACTACATACCTACAGATCTAAGCATATCTGATGCAATGCAATCTATTCTGGCAATTAACTTTATTGATGATCTAATTGTCTGCTTTGTGTTTAGTGAAAGCCTCTTCATATGAATCCTTTGGGCATAATCTCTTGCTCTCTGAAATGGTATTTTACAGTCTCATCTTGCATATTTCCTGCTCCAGCCCTAAAATCAGCCATTTATCTAAAAAAGTCATAGTCTCTTTTACTGGGAAATTATATTTAGGCATAATTGGACCCTTAATGGCATTGTTTTTCATTATTGTAAAATAGGTGCTGCTTCTTCAACAAGAAATTTGAGCCAATGAAAAATGTTTGCTTTACATCAATGCTCTTGGATCAACAACCAAAGCTATATCAAACAAATTTTCTTGTTAGGGACTCAGACAATATCAGAGTAAAGAAGAAATATAATAAAATTCTAAAGAGCATTGTCATCTAAGAAATTGACCAACTCCCATAATAGACTTCTTTCCTTCTCATTTTATATTTAGCTTCCAAATTGATATAAAAATAGATATTTGAAAGCTTTGGAATTACCATATGCCTATTTCAGGTACTATTATCTGCCATATTATGTAGTGTGTCACTGGACTTCTGCCTCCAAGCCCAGCATCTATGTTCATGTCATAGTGCTGTGCTACCCATTGAAAGTAAAGAAGGGCATCTCCAAATATTCCCCACACTGGAACTCTCCATGAATTGTATAGCTGAAAGCAGTTAGAGATCTTCTCAATAAACATAGCTTTTATGTTGGAATTTCTATTTTTATTTCTAATAAATGACAGTACTTCACAGTATTTGATGTGTTTGGTACTTTATGAAAGACATTGCCAGATATAGTATTCTACTGCTAACTTTGGATATATTTCTAAAATTCTCAGGCAATTGAAATACTTCAAATCTTGTAAAAAAGATAAGATTGGGAATCTGACAAGTGAGTGAAACTATTAGAAAGTTATAATTTTTACAATTATAATAAAGGAAAAACAATGAATATAGCACAGTAAATAAAGGAATAATCAATGTATCTTAAATCAGCCCTTTAGGACTAGATGGGTTATAAATAAATAAGTGAATTAACAACAGTTTTGCTTGGTAATAATGGCATTCTTACTTACTAGAGTTTTGCCTAGCTCAAGCATCCACCCACCGTCTCTGGACTCATGAAATAACTCGAGTGCTCCAGAGGGCAAAAGCTCTGGTCAAACTTCATTGAAGTCAATCAGACAGACATTATTGCTATGTACTTTTAAATTTTTAACTGCATTCAATGTTCTACCCACAATGACTTTATGCCAACATAACACCAAGCATATCTGGAAACTTTGGTCTGGTTCTGCCAGAGTCATACACTATTACTTGCTTCCTTCCTAATAGCTATAGGAGTATACTTCTAAGGGCTGCATTAATATTCTCTCTCTCTCTCTCTTTTTTTTTTTTTTTTAGCATTCTTGATTTTCTTGATTATCTTACTGCTAAATCCTCTAGTTCCATTCATTCTTTAGCCTTACTGTTTTGCTAATTTCCATTGATTTTTCTTTTTGATTGCACATAATTCATGCCTGTGAAATTGTTTGCTCTCCAATAAACATTTATTTAAACTGACAAAAATTATATACTTATTATGTAGAAAATTTTGTTATGAAATATTTTTACATTGTGAAATGGCTAAATCAATCTAAGTAATATATGCATTAGCTTGCATGCCTATCATTTTGTTTTGGTATGGTGAGAACACTTAAAATCTACTTGCTTAGCAATTTTCAAGAATATAATACATTTTGTTAACTATAGGCACCATGTTGTACAATAGGTCTTGCAAACTTATTCCTTCTATCTAACTGAAATTTTATATCCTTTGTCCAACATCTCACCAACTCCCTACTCCTCCAGCCCCTAGTAACCTGCATTCTGCTCCTTATTTACATGAGTTCCACATTTTCAAATCCTATATGTAAGGGAGATCATGAAGTATTTGTCTTCCTGTGCCTGGTTTATTTCACTTAGCATAATGGCCTCCAGGGTCATTCACACTGTCACACTTGGCAGAATTTCCTTCTTTGTTATGACTAAACAGTATTCCATTGATTATGTATACCACATTTATTTATCATTCAACTGTTGTTAGACACTTAGGTTTATTCCATAGATTGGCTACTACAAATAATGCTGCAATGAACATGAAAGTGCAGATATCTCATTGACCTACTGACTTCATTTCCTTTGGATATATTACAGAATTGGGACAGTAGCTCTATTTTTAATTTTTTTAGAAACTTCCACACTGTATTCCATAATGGCTGTATAAATTTATATTCCCAGCTACAGTGTGCAAAAGTTCCCTTTCTCTACATCCTATCCAACATTTACATATATATTTTGTTTATAGTAGCTGACACAGTTAGGCTTTGTGTCCCCACCCAAATCTCATCTTGAATTGTTGTTCCCATAATCCCTACATAACATGGGAGGGACCCAGTGGGAGGTAATTGAATCATGGGGGCAGTTACCCCCATACTGTTCTTGTGATAGTGAGTGAGTTCTCATGAGATTTGATGGTTTATAAGGGACTCTTTCCCACTTCACTGAGCACTTCTCCTTCCTACTGCCCTGTGAAGAAAGTTCTTTTATTCTCCTTTGCCTTCTGCCATGATTGCTAGTTTCTTGAGGCCTTCCTAGCCAGGCTGAACTATGAGTCAATTAAATTGCTTTTTTTTTTTTTTTTTAAATAAATTACCCAGTCTTGGGTATTTCTTCATAGCAGCATGAGAATGGACTAATATGGTAAACTGGTAACAGGAGTAGTGAGGCACTGTTGTAGGTGCCCAAAAATGTGGAAGCGACTTTGGAACTGCGTAAGAGGCAGAGGTTGAAACAGTTTGGAGGGCTCAGAAGAAGACAGGAAAATGTGAGAAAGTTTGGAACTTCCTAGAGGCTTGTTGAATGGCTTTTACCAAAATTCTGATAATGATATGGATAATGAAGTCCAGACTGAGGTGGTCTCAGATGAAGATGAGAAACTTATTGGGAACTAGAATAAAGGTGACTCTTGCTATAGTTTAGCAAAGAGACTGGCGGCATTTTGCCCCTGCCTTAGAGATCTCTAAAACTTTGAAATTGAGATAGATGAGTTAGGATATCTGGTGGAAGAAATTTCTAAGTGGCAAAGCATTCAAGAGGAAGCAGAGGATAAACTGAAAACTTTGCAGCCTGCTAATGCCATAGAAAGCAAAGACCCATTTTCTAGGGAGAAATTCAAGCTGGCTGCAGAAATTTGAGTAAGTAACCAGGAGCCAAATGTTAATAGCCAAGACAAGGGGGAAAATGGCTCTAGGGCATGTCAGAGACCTTCACACCTGCCACTCCCATCACAGGCCTGGAGGCCTAAAAGGGAAAAATAATATTGTGGGTGGGACTCAGGCCCCCCTGCTCTGTGCAGCCTTGGGACATGTTTCCTGAATCCAAGCTGCTTCAGCTCCAGCTGTGGCTAAAAGGGGCAAGGTACAGCTCTGGCCATTGCTTCAGAGGGTACAAGCCCCAAGACTTGGCAGCTTACATGTGCTGTTGGGTCTGCTAGTTCACAGAATTCAAGAAATAAAGTTTGGGAACCCCCACCTAGATTTCCAAGGATGTATGGAAATACCTGGATGTCCAGGCAGAAGTTTGTTGCAAGGGTGGCGCCCTCATGGAGAACCTCTGCTAGGGCAATGTGGAAGGGAAATGTAGGATTGAAGACCCCACACAAAGTCCCCACTGGGGTACTGCCTAATGGAACTGTGAGAAGACGACCACCATCCTCCAGCCCCTAGAATGGTAGACCCACCAACAACTTGCACTGTGTGCCTGGAAAAGCCACAGACACTCAATGTCACCCTGTGAAAGCAGCCAGGAATGGGGGCTGTACCTTGCAAAGCCACAAGAGTAGAGCATCCCATGGCTGTGGGAGCCCATCTCTTGCATCAGTGTGACTTGTATGTGAGACATGGAGTCAAAGGAGAATATTTGGGAACTCATGGTTTAATGGCTTCCCTGTTGGATTCTGGATTTGCATGGGGCCTGTAGCCTCTTTGTTTTGGCCAATTTCTCCCATTTGGAATGGGTGTGTTTACTAAATGCTTGTAAACCCCCATTGTATCTAAGAGGTAGCTAACTTGCTTTTGATTTTATAGGCTCATAGGTGGAAGGGACTTGCCTTGTTTCAGATGAGAATTTGGACTTGGACTTTTTGGTTAATGCTGGAATGAGCTAAGATTTTGGGAGACTGCTGGAAAGGCATGATTGTGTTTTGAAATGTGAGGACACGAGACTTGGGAGGAACCAGGGGTGGAATGATAT